CTCCTCAACTGAATGCTGATTTTTCTTTCCATCCAAGCAAACTGGCATGTTATCAAAAGGATCGTAAGCTTGCGTAGACACACTTGACGAAAATGATCCATCCCATGTAGATTCAGATTGAGATACCTCATCGGAGAAAGAAAGAAAGTTATCGTAATGCTTCATGTTTGGAAATGGAAGACTGCCATCAGAATCAGACACAAGTGCCTCGTCTCTGTCATCTGCTTCCGTCCTTGACATTTCGGTTTCATCACCAATTTCAGTCTCAAGAAAAGGCAGACGTGGCAAATTGGCATCGATTTTCAAATCTTCTGATGGGGTACTGGAGATATCCGTTTCATTCTTCGTCGTTTCAGCACCGGTAATGTCTTTGCGTTCTTCGTCTCGTGAATAAACAATATTGGCTTCCTCAGGATATTTCGGAACATCTTCGCGTGTGGGTTCAGGTGTATGTTGTGGTAATAAATTTTCTCCGTCTTGAACAAATGTACCGTCCTCGTTGAAAAAAGATGGATATGACAGTTTTACATCCTCCTTCACGTCCTTCCCAAACAGATGTCTTACCTCTTTTTCTGACGAATTGTTATCTTGGAAAGCTGGTCTCCGTATAATTGGAAACATGTTACGGACGATATCCGGACGAAGAAGCAGTCTTCCATGTGCGATTATTTTCGTTTTAATGTTACAGGTCAAGAGTTCATTCACCTCGTTATGAAACTCATTTGCAGACACAATTAATTCTTGAATGTTCTTCTTTTCAGCATCAATTTGATCCATCACATCTACGGTTCCTTGTTCAAGATGCTTAACAAGATTTTTTGCCATGGAATCAATGTGTCTTTTTAAGCTTTCGCGTCTCCTTATGATCATTTCTTTTCGCGAATCACAAAGTTCGCGTTCTTTCTTGCTGATTACCGAGCACTTTGTTAAGTCAGACTCCAGCTGTTTCTGTAGGACCGAATTTGTATCCTGTTCTTTTCGCAGTCTCTCAGTAATACATGTAGATGCCGAATCGAACGTCATGAGATGATGTCCACGGTGAGCGTCACTCTCAATACAGTTATCACACACGAAAAAATACGTGCAGGATATACATGCCATCACACATGGACGTCCGTCATGTACGGGACAGATAATGTAGGAAGACATGGCAGGTGCGTCTTCTCTTTGAAGTAATAGTGATATCAATATCACTGACCTGTTGCTGTAAGTAGAATTAAAGTCCGTCTATGTAATAGTTATATACAAAGTCCAAGACAATTATTCCGAGCCCTTAATTGTGACATAATTGGCAACAGATCTGATGAGGAATGTTTGTGTAACTGACTTGTTAGTCTCCTGTTTGAAAAGACGAGAGAGTAGCCATAGCGTTCGATTCAAATTGGGCGCACACTGTCGGTATTTAATAGTCAAACTTGCGAAACATTAACACCCAATGTATCTCCATAGGAATCCAGCTTGAAGTCGACACCAGCGTATGTTCAATCAGAATGGTTCCGTGTGTTTTGTTCGTGGTGATTACAGTACACAAACAACTAAAACTGTACTTCCGGGTCCCAAAACAATGTTAACTCAGCAATGCGACACACCCGCCCTACACATAGATAACCTCAACTAAGGGACACATGTATCTATAAACACACAGCTACAAGTATTATTTTGTCTGGCGTGATGCACGCAATATGTATGAAGTCAGCCGTTTCAAAGTCATCTAAGCCCAGTTAATTTCAATAACAATACCACTAGCATTTCTTGTTTTGTCCATGCATCAGTGAAAAAAATCGGGATTCTTTTAAGTAAACTATGCAAATTTACATTGAGACGAAAAGTTTATGCGTTGGCGCTGTTACTTGGGGCTTTCCAACAGGTAAACAACTTCCTAGTGTATACACGGGAGAGGTGACCCTGTCTTTGTACCAACGTGAGGACAAGCTGGTCTTTATATCAGCTTTAAGTGGATTTTCTATCAAATAAACGTGCCTTTAAGATTAGATCTTTACGAGATGTCGATAGACATTACCTTTTTAAAATGTTACCTTTGCCGCAGTCCAGTGTTCACTCCTATCTCGGATATATATACCCTAAAGCTGACGATATCTTTTAAAGGTCTTTAGAGAACTAATATATCATTGTAGTGTAACAAATATATTGTATTATGTATCTGTACGAAAAGATTATATCAATATTAAGATAATTTAAAATTATTCGGATTTTAAAAGACCTTTTCGAAAGTAAAGGATTTAAAAGCGGATGTAAATTTCGCTAGGCAGTCGGGTATAACAGTAGGTTTGAAGTGACAGAATATAAATACCAACAATAAAATCTGAAAGTAATTACCTAGATCAAGTCATGCGCGATGATTAACAACCATGTTTTTTACAACCGAATGAAATATTCCATTCACCAGTAGCATTTTAAGTAATTTTCCCTGTTGAAGAGATCATATGAAGGAAAACAAGTATTGAATTTTACAGGTAGTAGTCAGCCTTTCGGAAGTCTTATAATAACGTAGATTTATTCAATACATCGCTCCTCATTTCCGTTTTTGCAAACACTGACAATCAGCAACGTATCAAATGTTGTATTTTTATTCCCAGTAAAAGAAAAACTAACAACAGAATAAGTGAAATTTACGTTTAATTTGAAAGTTTTGAATGTTAAGTGGAATCAATAAATGACGATCACAATGATACTGAAAAACACTGAACGCTATTGAAATAGACATAAAAAATAACGTGTGTTGAAGACAACGTTCATAGCACAGATGGTAAATATCTTCAAAATGTTGTACAGAATGAACTTAAACAATAGCTCCCCACCCCATAAAGCTAAGATTATATATGTATTGCGAATTCGACAACAGATGTTTCTTTTTTTTCTTAGTAAACTAGGCGATCGGGGTTGGATTCCCCAATCGGATCTCAAAATGTATAGAGAACTCTGTTTTTCTCCCACACTAAGACCCCTCGTCTGCTGCCATTGAGACCAACAAAGGTGTTTTTTGCCAAATTATATTTACACGAAGGAGTAGAGAGGTTGAGAAGTTGTCTCTGAAAACAGCTTTTAAGCATGAATTGAGATTACCTTAGAAAAAACATGACCTGTCTTTGTTCTACATTATTATACAAATTTCGACCAGCTGAACATGGCGTTCAATATAGTCTTACTGTCTGTAATATGTTTTTCTCGTTTGCAAAATCAACATTTAAATATCATCTTTAATGTAAAGCTACGATATATTTTTCTACATGTTTGAATTGGAATGTAATTTTCAAGATACAGAACAACTGTATAGATAGTGGAGAAAACCAGAGCATGTTATATAGGGTTTTCTTACAGAGTTGGTTCAAATGATCGTGTCAAGCTTTCGATAAAATCAGTTGAAAGATATCCAAAATAAAAACTAATATTCGTTTTAAGTTTTTGACAGATAACTCGATTCTAGATAAATTTTGTAACCACAATTACTTTTTTGTGCTTTCAAAATGAGTTGGATTAATTGATAAGACACCCCCAAATTTTTTTTCCAAAAAGGAAAAGTATTAACTACAATGTCGATCCGTTTGATTACAAAATTTCACAAAACTCTTCAAGAAAATTTCTCTATAGCTGTTGCTGATTCACTAAAGTCTGAATACCATTCTCGGTATCCTTAAATCAATTGAAACTCCTACCTGTAATCAGTGGAATGCCGATTTCAAAGAATTATTTGTTCTCTCTCAGAATATTTGATTTCTGACGTAAAACATGAAAAAAACAAGTTTCCTTTCTATAAATAATAAACAACAGAAGAAAAATTGGGACAATGGACGAACAAGAAAGACATTCATTGAAAAAAAGGGGAACAAATTAGATGTCCCCGGAAGGGAAAGTGTCTTCAACTTCAAAAATCAACACTTGTAAAGGACTAGAATAAATTTATAATTGACCAGAATAAATCAATGTCAATCAGTTATCTTTAGATGACTTTTGGGTTAATAGCAACAAAACTTTTGGTATACTTAAGGATATATACATCAGCGACCAATGAACTTGTCTATAATCACATCACCTGTAATTAACAAATTGTGTGGGTTATTTCCCTTGCCTGATCAACCCGCTAACAATACTTCAACAATACAGCATTTATATATAGACATGGATATGGAACGGTGATCAAGATAACACAGAAAATGGCATTAAAACAAATGATACATGATTAGGGGGCATCAAGGATATTTCTGAATGATGCATTCATTACATGTACTATGTATAAATATGTCATCTGTAAATTACGATAATGACAATGAAATATACAAGTATAATACAGAATCAAGATTAGTTGTAAAACTGAACGGAAGGACAAAGTACTAGACAGGCTTTATGGAATTGCTATCCCTTCCTCTGTTATTTCGTACAATGAATATGAATCCATGTAGAAAATAAACATCTAATTTAAAAACAACACTAGACTACAAAACTACAGTCAGTTAAGGTTGAAGTGATTTAGAACGAGAAATGTATAGTGAAAAAACATCATTGTTTAAAGTCAATAAATTATCAATATTAACAAGATAGGTATCAACTATCACCTGGCAAGTAACAAGGCTTCTTCGTCATAGGTCCCGGGGACACTTCTGAGATCAGTGATAAACTACCTTCTGAGGTCACTAATAGACTTCCTTCTGAGGTCAGTAGTAGACTACCTCCTGAGGTCACTAGTAGACTTCCTTCTGAGGTCAGTAGTAGACTACCTTCTGTGGTCAGCAGTAGACTAATTTCTGAGGTCAGTAGTAGACTTCCTTCTGAGGTCACTAGTAGACTTCCTGAGGTCACTAGTAGACTACCTTCTGAGGTCACTAGTAGACTTCCTTCTGAGGTCACTAGTAGACTTTTGCTCTGAGGTCAGTAGTAGACAACATTCTGAGGTCAGTAGTAGACTACCTTCTGAGGTCACTAGTAGACTTCTTTCTGAGATCACTAGTAGACTTCACTCTGAGGTCAGCAGTAGACTTCACTCTGAGGTCAGTAGTAGACTACCTTCTGATATCAGCAGTAGACTACCTTCTGAGATCTTTATATCTTTTCACTAACCTTTTTAAATACCATGACATTATTTCATATAGCCACAACAGTCTTTAAGCGAATTCTGTGTCAGTTTGTGTGTAACGTTTTGTTGTGTGTTATCCTAGATTACAGGTGTGACATCTGTTCAAAAACGTCATATTTTACATCACTTCATTAATTTCCATATGTAAATACAGAACAGTATCAACTTCACAATATGCTTTGCGTTTTCGAGGCACTTGAACCGTATTCCATGTCTTGTTAACAATCAAACGTACACTGCGTTTCTGAGTGTTACGTCATTATTTGTTTAACAATTCAAATGAACTGCTATCATATCTGATTATGTAACACGTCGCTGATTTTGCCGAACCGTGGGCCAATTAAAACATGCATTCAAATGTCTGATCACCTTTCATACTATGTGACTGAATCATTGATAAGACTGTTGTTTCATTCTTTCTTCATTTCATCCGGGGAAGGTACAGGAGTGTTAGCTTTACTTCCTTTTTTGACATCATCTGTCGGAGAAGGCACTGGAGTGTTAGCTTTACTTCCTTTTTTGATATCATCTGTCGGAGAAGGCACTGGAGTGCCAGACTTGCTCCCTTTAATTGTTTGATACTCTCGCTGTACATTCTCGACATTTTTCTTAACTTCTTCTGCCATTTTGTCCGTGACTTCTGCGACCTTATCGGTGACCTGCGACATTTTATCTTTGGCCTTGTCCATATGTTTCCCGACCTCTGACATTTTCTCCTTGCTCATTTCCGCCATCTTGTCCTTAGCCTGGTTCATTCTCTTCTTGGCTCTTTTGATAGTTTTCGTGAAGAATTCAATGCCGACGTTAATGCACATGGATATAAGTGAGAGACCAATAAAAAGATAGATCCCACTGATAAGAAAGTATTTAGGATGAGCTGGCAGAATGTCACCGAACCCTATAGTGGACATCGATATAAATACAAAATAGAACGAGTCAAGAAAGGTCCAATTTTCCCACGCGGGGTACATCATACAGCCTATAAGTAAGTAGATGACCATAATTGCTAAAGCGAGAGAAGGAGGCAAATTAAATTCTTCGTCAATCTCCACCCCAAATACAACATTCACATGTTTTTTATTCTCCGTGGTTACGTCTTCGTTTCCTTCCTGCTCTTCTGTCTTGTCCATTTCATTGCTGACTAAAGATTTCTGATCAAAGTTCTTTCCGTTGATCACTTTTGTTTGTCCGTCAGGAGCTACCTGTACAACGGTATCTGATTTTGCTGGCTCCTCAACAGGTGTTTCTTCTTCTTCTTTATTCGTTTCTTTCGATTGTCCATTCTCTATGCTGCCCCCTTCAACATCCTTTGAATTTTCTTTAGGACGGAATCGGCGCCGTAACACTCTGCGGCAGTCCCTAAGCCTGTAGAAACGCTGTATAATCACCAGTAATACCTTGAGACCAATCGTGAATTTTCGGCCAAGTTCGGCCAACACAATCATGGCGAGAGGAATTCCGGTAATGGCGTAAATTATGGCGAATATCTTACCGATACCTGTCATAGGAACAATATTACCGTATCCTGAAAAGACAGAAAATTAGGATCAATGACATATTGAACAGACAATATATATTTTCACTTTACAAATCAATAAAATATGAACGATAGGGTACATTGATGTTCGTGGTAATATGTCAAACCATTTCGGATATTTATAGCAATACAGCAAGAAAAAAAATTAGTAAAATACCAACATAGAAACATAATCACAATTCAATCACAAATTCCATAAAACTAGGGCAAAACATGAACAAAAGAAAGATTTACAAGGAGACTCCGGAAAAAAGTACAAGGAGAATAAGATCAAGTGTTTCGGAAGAGTAAGCGTCTTCTGCAAGAAGACTTTCATTTAACATCTGAAATGTACTTTTAATGTTTTAATAACAAAACAGAGAAGGAATCTAATAAAGCAAAATTAAAATGGAATTAAATAAGATACAGACATCTTGTATACCAGTGTCATAGGTCAGATATTGTACATAACGATACTCTGTTAGCTTTATATATTGATCACCTTGAATACAATTCATATCTGATTGAAGTGTGCTGATCTTATAAAAGGATCTGGCCGGTAACGCTTCCTCAAAACTATAAAATAATGAAACTACCAAATGGAAAATATATATGATGTCGATGCAATACAATCACCAATGATTTATCACTTTTTAAATTTTGCTTGGGAACAGAAATGTCCGGAATATTACATCCCAAAAAAAAAGATCTGTTGACTGACCCAATATTAAACCAATTTTCTAGGGACTTAATTTACTTTTACGCTGATAATATGATAAATCTGATTGGTCTAATACCAGTGTCTTCCTAGCCCAGCAAATCTGATTGGTCTAATACCATTGTCTTTCTAGCCCAGCAAATCTGATTGGTCTAATACCAGTGTCCTCCTAACCCAGCAAATCTGATTGGTCTAATACCATTGTCTTCCTAGCCCAGAAAATTTGATTGGGCTAATACCAGTGTCCTCCTAGCCCAGAAAATCTGATTGGTCTAATACCAGTGTCCTCCTAACCCAGCAAATCTGATTGGTCTAATACCAGTGTCCTCCTAGCCCAGAAAATTTGATTGGGCTAATACCAGTGTCCTCCTAACCCAGAAAATCTTATTGGTCTAATACCATTGTCTTCCTAGCCCAGCAAATCTGATTGGTCTAATACCAATGTCTTCCTAGCCCAGCAAATCTGATTGGTCTAATACCAGTGTCCTCCTAGCCCAGCACATAGCTCCAATCTCGTGTTACACATTAAGTTTAAATTTTTTACATAATCCGATGATTTAGTAATATTTATGAACCAGAATTGTTATTATCATTCAAGGAATAATCTGTATTGAATACTTAGTTGGGGGGAAAGTATCTTTGATCTATAAATACACAGAGACCATTGGGCGGGGACTTGTGCCAAACCGATATGCCTGAGGTGTTAATTAATAGTCATGAACTAAATCACCCTGACGTAAATGAGTTACCACAGAGATCTGTAGACAGGAAACAACCACGCCAAACCCTGGTGTGATCCTGATTACTTCTAAAGGGTGTACTGTGTTGATGCAAAACGCTTAATGAGTAAGATAAAAAGCTAAGGTAAATGGTTTGTCTATTGAAAAATATACACTGCACTGTCGTACACTGACCTCAGTGTACTATTACAAAACATAAACACGTAGTCATTTCATCACAATAAGGTTCGTTTTGTCATTAACATTTTCATACGTTTTAGTTATAAAACATCGTAAATTATAACAAATGTCATTTTAGGCTGTGCGCATACATGTGATGTTTTTCTATCTTCTAGGGAAGGTCTACTGTATAACTTTTCATCGATAGTTCTTATGTAATCTAAAATACCTTAAACCTCCGAAATGGGAAAACCGTCCTTTCTATTGTAAGTACTGTAAATACGTCTCTCATCACAAATATTACTATTCAAACCAAGATACAGATATAACTATATTTATCATTATAATTGTCAATTAAAGTAGCCACCTAGTTGACACGATGCGAACGATCCCCAATTTCGGTTATTGCTATATAAAAATACTTTAGAGAGGTGATATCTGAATTCCTAATATAAACACCAGTTTTCGTTTGAATGAATGTCACGTAAAGTAGTTCGTTCAATGTCTTGTTATTTGCATCGATTAGAAGAGAAATTATGTGATCACTAAGTAGAAAATTACTTTGTTATCGGTAAATAAGAAAATATTGTGTTACAGCTAAACAGACATAATGTTTGTCCCGAACAAAGAGTTACTATAGTATTATTATCTGAAAAAGACGGAAATCCCGCCCCACCCCCACAGTGTTCTTTTTCTGTACCCTTTATCTTCGTAGATATATGCTACTTTCGTAACCAAAGCGAGGCTCAGTTATAGACATTATACGTCCTTAGACATTAGCAAGTGTCAACTCTTCATTTTGTAAGTAGTATTCATAACAAGAAACATTGAATTTCATTTGAAAACATAATTATGTCGCTCTTTTATTTTTCAAGTCAGTTCTCGCTTGAATGGTTGGAATGTCACGGTTTGTACAGAGACTCAATGCAATATCGATCAAGTACTTAAAACAGAAGGCGTGCACGTAATGGCAGTGTGAACGCTGCACGCAAAAATGACAACTGATTAAGATAACAGTATTAAAAACAAAATTTACTTTCTACTTGAGCTATTCAGGCCTGTGTGTGTTGGTTATATAAACAATGATATAAGCCAGATGAGTCATGATGTGGAGACGTCGATGGATGATGAAGCTTCTTATTTCGGGGAGATTGTATGTTTAGACAGAAACATACACCAACATCAACTGGCAGGCATAACCTATCGCTGTTTATGATCAGTGAATTGCGCAATGTGTTCAGAATATAATGAGAAAACGTTTAATAATTAGCAGGGATCCCTGTGTTGTTTGTGTGAAACAGTATACATTATTGGAGCTTTTCCAAACTAATAACATATATAAGATTACTGGAAGGTGTTTCAAGTTACACAGGCTAATACAAAATTGTCATTGAAAACAGAAACCCTATGACAATGTGAATGATGCGGTAGACACAATTATCGTTCAGGTGTGAGACATGCAATTTAGATGTGCTCAGCCAACCGTAGAATTTTTAAACGCGCGGCTTTATGAGGGATCAACAACAGAAAATCCATCTTTCTACAAACAGGGTTGTAAGCTCCGTGAAATAATTTTATATTGGCTCTAGTCATCGAAACGTTTTCTAATGCTTGTAATATTCCGTGTGTTACTGGATTATGTGTATTCCAAAATCAATCGTATAATTTGCATAAGATGTATGATCATAATACCATATATCAAATAATTGTACAGAAGTTCCAGATAAAACACAATGAAAACTAGACGTTTTATTGTACACGAAAGAGAAAACTGAGGCCAGCGTCACAGGGAAGTCTCCCTGGGGTCAAATAAGTACAAACACTATTTTACTCAGAGGAAATGCACTCTGTCTGTTTGTGTTGACCTTTCCATACTCTTTGTAATAAGATAACAATTTCCAGGGAAACACCTAAACAGGGAGCTAGAGAAGTTGGCAGTAATCTGACGTGGAATAAAAGGCCCGCCTACTCTTAACCTTATTCACTGGGTGATGATCATGTGACAACACGGCGTGACGACACGTAATCTGACCGTTCTTTTTTAACTGGATCGTTATAACAGGATTAGTTCTGAAACTACAAGAACGATAATCCAGTTTGAAAACATTGTTTGTTTCTATCCAAAATGTTCATGGATATGTAAGAATTTATATCTTAATGGGACAATTTGGTAAAGTTTTATAAATATTTCTTTAATGTCAAAACATGCGTAAACCCGTCTCGTGACTGTCAACAAAAATGGCTTCCTCCACATCACGTGGATTTGTTTACAAACATCTTTGTTCTCGCTAGAGGGCTCGTCATTTTGTGCTATATGACGATTTTAGCTATATTTGGCACGTGCTTTCCCAAAATTTAAAGAGGCCATACCGGATATTGGCTTCATAGCAAATAACTTTTACACACGAGGTTTTTTTCCGTCTACATATGTATATTTTCCATTATGCTTGAATTCAAGGAAGGTTGGTTGACTAAATTGTCCCTTTAAGGGGGATCGGGGAGGAAAATAAACCATCACCTCTTCACAAATATCATTCTACTTTCCATTCTTGCCGATTTACACTGAGATCTTTACAAGAACTAAGAGAGAACTCCTATACCACGGGTAGTAGAAAAGAGTTATTCGTTCCGTGTGATCTCGACAGACATAACCTATGTAACCTCAAGGACGCATACAATTTGATTTTGTTGCAAGTTTTGGTCTCCTAAAGGCGTCAAAACAGAAATGCTTGATGCTCACAATGCATTGTATTATTACAGTGTGTAGACACTGTGACAAATTCGCCAATCTTTATGCATCGCTACTTCATTCATTCATTAATTATTCAGCAGCTGCATTGGAACTTCGGTCTGTATACGTGTATAGATAAAAAAAAAACAGAATTACGTTCGTAATGTAGTTTGTAGCTAATCCACAGAGTCTGACTTTGTGTAAAACTAGCATAGACAGGACACTTTTTTCTGAGTATGCAAATCGCTAAATATACACCTGGAAATATATAAAACCCAGTAATTAGAATCCCTCTAAAATTAAAATGTGGTAAATAGATTGTCAGCTCCATCTGCTTTGTGATACAATGTGATTCTATTGCTTCAGTTGTACTAGAGGTTTTTGTAAGTACTTTTTGTCTCCAACACTTGTCAAACACTGTTAGATAATTCAGGCTTATCAGAAATAGTCAGTATTGCCATGTTGACTTCAACACTAGGAAAAAGTGGTCAATTTGTCCAACAATGTTGTATTTTTCCTATGACAATGAGATCAGAAAGTAAGTTAGCGAGCCCAATGACGATTTGGATACACTAGTTAAATATATATCTGTGGATGTTAAATGTTCCGGATCACGTCCTCACAGAGACGGCACATATTATTCTATATCATGAAAGTGTTTTATATCTGTGACTCGAAGTGTACACTGTTGTATTTGTGCTTGAAATATTTCTAAATATTAATTAGAGCTAATCTATTTGGTTAATTCTTGTCAACTGCTATAGTCAATGGCGCGGTGAACAGTGTGTGTATCGGCCCAGACATAAAACTTGCCAAGTGACGGGATTCTGCTGCCGACAAGCAAGGAACTATATTTTCTACAAAGATAGAAAGCCATATCCCTGCCCGACCTGGTTGTAAAGTGATTTAGGTTGGTGATGAGCAAGAAGATAAAGCTTATCGTCCTTTGGTCTGTTATCAGAGACTAACATACAACAAATAAGCGATGCGTCAGACTCCTGGTTATAAATATACGTATAGTTCTGTTTAAAGAATGTTGATCCTTCTTAATCACCATGGTAAACCTTTTTACCTGACTATATTGTTTGGAAACAAAGTTGTATACAAATAAAATCCAAAGGGGGCGGTATACATCCATCGCGCTCTTGACCTTGCGTGCAAGGATAATACAAAACTTTGTGACGTAAATCGATGTTACCTTCACCAGAGATGTACCATGTATACTGTCATATTAAGATTCACACCGTCGTTATATCTTGGACTTGTAGGTATAAGTGACGTAATAATATGGTTAATGTTTAAATCTCAAAGTCATTGTCATGATAAATAGTGACAGGAATAACGTGCGATTTAATGACATCCAGCGCGTGACCATTACAGTGACGTCATTGATGGCATGGAAACTGTACATCGTCAAAATGAATGCAACGTAGAAATCTCACAATGTTCCAGGTTCTGAGTTACTATATGAAGTCTATAACGAAATCCTACCTTCTAACACACAGTTACATAATTACAACACACGTCGACCTCTTTTACATAGTATGCCTTGTCAAGATTATTCATCCTTCACAAAGGCAGCCATTGTTATGGCTGTCCAACATGATGTGATATATATGTAAATATTACCTTATGTTCCTTATCCTTCTATCTTTCTGCATGCCTTCCTTCCTGAATATCGCACAGATTAATGTGAAAAAGAATGCAGTACCGTGGCTTGTCCTGGCAATAGTAGTCATATACTGTGTAATAGTACTCACGCGCATTTCAAGTTAAAGTGTGTACTAAAAAAACAGTTTCTTAGCAAGTTTTCACTAGCCGTGTTCACGTCAATTGGTTGGTTGGTTTCAGAACTTTCGTCTCCATGAATCTTCCTCTTGCTTGGAGTTGTCTCACCTTTCGTAAATCTTTAATCGTGTATCTATCTTTGATGGAGTCACGGTGTATGTATTGTAACTGACTATCTTTGATGGAATCACGGTGTATGTATTGTAACTGACTGTCTTTGATGGAGTCACGGTATGTATTGTAACTGACTGTCTGATGGAGTCACGGTGTATGTATTGTAACTGGCAGTCTGATGGAGTCACGATGTATGTATTGTAACTGACTATCATTGATGGAGTCACGATGTATGTATTGTAACTGGCTGTCTTTGATGGAGTCACGGTGTATGTATTGTAACGGGCTATCTTTGGTGGAGTCAGGGTGTATGTATTGTAACTGGCTGTCTGATGGACTCACGATGTATGTATTGTAACTGACTGTCTTTGATGGAGTCGCGGTGTATGTATTGTAACTGGCTGTCTGATGGAGTCACGGTGTATGTATTGTAACTGACTATCTTTGATGGAGTCATGGTGTATGTATTGTAACGGACTATCTTTGATGGAGTCACGGTGTATGTATTGTAACTGACTATCTTTGATGGAGTCACGATGTATGTATTGTAACTGGCTGTGTGATGGAGTCACGGTGTATGTATTGTAACTGACTATCTTTGATGGAGTCATGGTGTATGTATTGTAACGGACTATCTTTGATGGAGTCACGGTGTATGTATTGTAACTGACTATCTTTGATGGAGTCACGGTGTATGTATTGTAACTGGCACGGTGTATGTATTGTAACTGGCAGTCTGATGGAGTCATGATGTATGTATTGTAACTGGCTGTCTTTGACGGAGTCGTAGTGTATGTATTGTAACGGACTATCTTTGATGGAGTCACGTATTATTCAAAACGTGACTTGGTATATGCTTTTTATTACAACAGCTTACATTTAGCAGGATACCATCCCACAACTTACCCACAGCAGGATACCATTCCACAACTTAACCACAGCAGGATACCATCCCCGAACTTAACCACAGCAGGAGACCATCCCACAACTTACCCACAGCAGGATACCATCCCACAACTTACCTTTAGCAAGATACCATCCCACAACTTAACCACAGCAGGATACTATCCCATACCTTAACCACAACATGATACCATCCCACAACCTAACCACAGCAGGATACCATCCCACAACTTACCCACAGCAGGATACCATCCCACAACTTAACCACAGCAGGATACTATCCCATACCTTAACCACAACAGGATACCATCCCACAACCTAACCACAGCAGGATACCATCCCACAACTTAACCACAGCAGGATACTATCCCATACCTTAACCACAACAGGATACCATCCCACAACCTAGCCACAGCAGGATACCATCCCACAACTTAACCACAGCAGGATACTATCCCATACCTTAACCACAACAGGATACCATCCCACAACCTAACCACAGCAGGATACCATCCCACAACTTACCCACAGCAGGATAAAATCCCCGAACTTAACCTCAGCAGGACACCATCCCACAACTTACCCACAGCAGGATACCATCCCACAACTTAACCACAGCAGGATACTATCCCATACCTTAACCACAACAGGATACCATCCCACAACCTAGCCACAGCAGGATACCATCCCACAACTTAACCACAGCAGGATACTATCCCATACCTTAACCACAACAGGATACCATCCCACAACCTAACCACAGCAGGATACCATCCCACAACTTACCCACAGCAGGATAAAATTCCCGAACTTAACCACAGCAGGACACCATCCCACAACTTACCCACAGCAGGATACCATCCCACAACTTAACCACAGCAGGATAATATCCCACAACTTAACCACAGCAAGACACCATCCCACAACTTACCCTCAGCAGGATACCATCCCACAACTTACCCACAGCAGGATAATATCCCACAACTTAACCACAGCAGGATACCATTCCACAACTCAACCACTGCAGGATACCATACCACCACTTTCTTACAGCAGGATACCATCCCACAACTTACCCTCAGCAGGATACCATCCCACAACTTACCCACAGCAGGATACCATCCCACAACTTACCCACAGCAGGATACTATCCCACAACTTAACCACAGCAGGATACCATCCCACAACTTACCCACAGCAGGATACCATCCCACAACTTAACCACAGCAGGATACCATCCCACAACTTAACCACAGCAGGATACCATCCCACAACTTTCTTACAGCAGGATACCATCCCACAACTTACCCACAGCAGGACACCATCTCACAACTTACCCACAGCAGGATACTATCCCACAACTTAACCACAGCAGGATACCATCCCACAACTTAACCACAGCAGGATACCATCCCACAACTTACCTTTAGCAAGATACCATCCCACAACTTACCTTTAGCAAGATACCATCCCACAACTTACCCACAGCAGGACACCATCTCACAACTTACCCACAGCAGGATACTATCCCACAACTTACCCACAGCAGGATACCATCCCACAACTCAACCACTGCAGGATACCATCCCATCACTTTCTTACAGCAGGATACCATCCCACCACTTTCTTACAGCAGGATACCATCCCACAACTTACCCACAGCAGGATACCATCCCACAACTTAACCTTTACAGGATACCTTTCAACAAGACGCAATTGTAGAATATTAAGCAAAAAAACCCTCTTTAATGACGACAAAAAATAGACAAAAGGCCGCCGTTTCCCAATGTTGCAATATTTAAACCTAAGGTTTGAAAAAAGCGCCTTATTTCTGAAGAATCCATGCCTATTTCCTATATTCTGCAGTACTTAACAGTATTAAGCGTTTACCTTCAAAATATCGAATACAAAGGAAAGCTAGCATTGCTCATTTTATGGCTGTAATAAAATATAAACTTTATTTATTTTACAACAATTGCGAAACAAGTTATGTCAACTTATACTAATCACTCTTGTTGGCCCGGATGTAAGCGCGCGAGGGGTCTTATTGTGGGAGGAAACCTTACCCGGGGAAAACCCACGTGGTCCGGCACGTGGCCCCTTACCTTTTCACGTCCGTTCCGGGAATCGAACCCCGGTCGGCTTGGTGAAAGGCGAGTGCGTTAACACTGCGCCACCGGACCACTAAACGCTACGTCCAATTGGTAGACACTACTCACCTATTGTTGTATAGACAGTTCCACAGAAGAATAATGCCCCATAGAAACTCCATTTTTCTTCTGATATCGACCCATAAGCACTGCTCCTCGCTGTCGTCTCGTACTGATCAAGTAAGTCACGGGTAATATTTTCCCATCTTTCCATTGTTATTTTCCTTGAATTTAATTGAATTGTACTATTTTTGATACTTTTCAACACTTGTTGTTTATAAGAAATCAGACTGTTTTTCTGTGCCTGTTCATATGGCCGTTCTACCGCCTGAAATAGAGCAGCACCGATGAGGGTGTATATGATAAGAATGATAATTAATCCAATTAGTGACTTGATGATTGAATACACGGTCCCAAGAAATTTTCTCAGATTTCGAAGACATTTCGTACAAAATGTTACACCTTTCGATAAGTTTTCGCCTACAGCTGCAACAGCAGCTTCCGGTTTCCGACGACTGCTTCCGGGAGTATTTGTTTCTGTTTTTTCCATAGTGTTCATTTCTTTCAACAGTGTCTCGTTTTCTGAAAGAGCAAGTGAAAGACAGCTTAAATGGTCAGTTTTATTTTAATGATGGTTCCGTTTTTGCTTACGGTGTTTTCATTTGGCAACGTCACATTGCTTACTAAGACTGATCAAGATTTACAGGGAGGGTGTCGTCGATGATTCAGAAGACGCTGACTCATCCGGAACACCTTGTCTTATTCTCTTTGTACGTTCTCCATGTAAATTTTTCTGTTGTTCATAGCTTGCCCTAGTTTTATTTAATTCTAGTTTGGATAATTATTTTGTTAACAGTTTATTTTTTCGCTGCAGTCTTTGAAGTAATATTGAGTTTTAATGGTTTTGTTGGCTTTACGATATATTCACAAATCAATTAATTCGTTATCAAGATAAGATTCAGGTAATAATTTAGTTACGAACGTAATCCTGTGGTGTGTTGATTTAAGACAGAATGACCGGTAAATTGATAACACTGATGTAGAGCAATATGATGACATCATCAATAGTTTCCCTGCACATTACGCAGGAAAAGTTAGGCAAAATATTTTGAGAACGCATTTTGTGTGGTGCTCCGTCTGTGTAAATAAAACATCGCAAAGGTTCCTTCTGATAAGTATGTATATACAAGACATAGATAACACAAGCAAATGATTCTACTTTACTAGATACAAATATTTTTTGTTACTTTCATCTGCAAATTGCAATCAGCCTTAACACGCTTTAGCATGTGTATAACACATGCCTCACTCTGCATTCTCCTTACAATGTCATGAAGAAACTGAACTATTGTGCTTGTTTAACTACATTGTTATGTCAGCTGGTAGATATATTTTTTATTTGACGAAACCGCATCGACCAATTAAAATGTAATTAATAATACGACGAGAATGAATGTCAGAACCCATGACACGGGTATTACTGTATACACGTAGTGTCACGCGTCAAAAAGAATTACACCGATTTACTTTGTACGTGTAATTTTACACATCAGAACGAATTTAACTTATATCTATTGTGTACTCGTACTGACATGCATTAAAACGAATTACACTTGTATTTACTGTGTACACGTAGTGTTACAGGTCAGAACGAATTACACTTGTATTTACTGTGTACACGTAGTGTTACAGGTCAGAACGCGAATTACACTTGTATTTACTGTGTACACGTAGTGTTACAGGTCAGAACGAATTACACTTGTATTTACTGTGTACACGTAGTGTTACAGGTCAGAACGAATTACACTTGTATTTACTGTGTACACGTAGTGTTACAGGTCAGAACGAATTACACTTGTATTTACTGTGTACACGTAGTGTTACAGGTCAGAACGAATTACACTTGTATTTACTGTGTACACGTAGTGTTACAGGTCAGAACGAATTACACTTGTATTTACTGTGTACACGTAGTGTTACAGGTCAGAACGAATTACACTTGTATTTACTGTGTACACGTAGTGTTACAGGTCAGAACGAATTACACTTGTATTTACTGTGTACACGTAGTGTTACAGGTCAGAACGAATTACACTTGTATTTACTGTGTACACGTAGTGTTACAGGTCAGAACGAATTACACTTGTATTTACTGTGTACACGTAGTGTTACAGGTCAGAACGAATTACACTTGTATTTACTGTGTACACGTAGTGTTACAGGTCGAATTACACTTGTATTTACTGTGTAATTACACTTGTATTTACTGTGTACACGTAGTGTTACAGGTCAGAACGAATTACACTTGTATTTACTGTGTACACGTAGTGTTACAGGTCAGAACGAATTACACTTGTATTTACTGTGTACACGTAGTGTTACAGGTCAGAACGAATTACACTTGTATTTACTGTGTACACGTTGTTACACTTACACTTGTATTTACTGTGTACACGTAGTGTTACAGGTCAGAACGAATTACACTTGTATTTACTGTGTACACGTAGTGTTACAGGTCAGAACGAATTACACTTGTATTTACTGTGTACACGTAGTGTTACAGGTCAGAACGAATTACACTTGTATTTACTGTGTACACGTAGTGTTACAGGTCAGAACGAATTACACTTGTATTTACTGTGTACACGTAGTGTTACAGGTCAGAACGAATTACACTTGTATTTACTGTGTACACGTAGTGTTACAGGTCAGAACGAATTACACTTGTATTTACTGTGTACACGTAGTGTTACAGGTCAGAACGAATTACACTTGTATTTACTGTGTACACGTAGTGTTACAGGTCAGAACGAATTACACTTGTATTTACTGTGTACACGTAGTGTTACAGGTCAGAACGAATTACACTTGTATTTACTGTGTACACGTAGTGTTACACTGTGTACACGTAGTGTTACAGGTCAGAACGAATTACACTTGTATTTACTGTGTACACGTAGTGTTACAGGTCAGAACGAATTACACTTGTATTTACTGTGTACACGTAGTGTTACAGGTCAGAACGAATTACACTTGTATTTACTGTGTACACGTAGTGTTACATGTCAGAACGAATTACACTTGTATTTACTGTGTACACGTAGTGTTACAGGTCAGAACGAATTACACTTGTATTTACTGTGTACACGTAGTGTTACAGGTCAGAACGAATTACACTTGTATTTACTGTGTACACGTAGTGTTACAGGTCAGAACGAATTACACTTGTATTTACTGTGTACACGTAGTGTTACAGGTCAGAACGAATTACACTTGTATTTACTGTGTACACGTAGTGTTACAGGTCAGAACGAATTACACTTGTATTTACTGTGTACACGTAGTGTTACAGGTCAGAACGAATTACACTTGTATTTACTGTGTACACGTAGTGTTACAGGTCAGAACGAATTACACTTGTATTTACTGTGTACACGTAGTGTTACAGGTCAGAACGAATTACACTTGTATTTACTGTGTACACGTAGTGTTACAGGTCAGAACGAATTACACTTGTATTTACTGTGTACACGTAGTGTTACAGGTCAGAACGAATTACACTTGTATTTACTGTGTACACGTAGTGTTACAGGTCAGAACGAATTACACTTGTATTTACTGTGTACACGTAGTGTTACAGGTCAGAACGAATTACACTTGTATTTACTGTGTACACGTAGTGTTACAGGTCAGAACGTAATTACACTTGTATTTACACTTGTATTTACTGTACACGTAGTGTTACAGGTCAGAACGAATTACACTTGTATTTACTGTGTACACGAACGAATTACACTTGTATTTACTGTGTACACGTAGTGTTACAGGTCAGAACGAATTACACTTGTATTTACTGTGTACACGTAGTGTTACAGGTCAGAACGAATTACACTTGTATTTACTGTGTACACGTAGTGTTACAGGTCAGAACGAATTACACTTGTATTTACTGTGTACACGTAGTGTTACAGGTCAGAACGAATTACACTTGTATTTACTGTGTACACGTAGTGTTACAGGTCAGAACGAATTACACTTGTATTTACTGTGTACACGTAGTGTTACAGGTCAGAACGAATTACACTTGTATTTACTGTGTACACGTAGTGTTACAGGTCAGAACGAATTACACTTGTATTACACTTGTATTTACTGTGTACACGTAGTGTTACAGGTCAGAACGAATTACACTTGTATTTACTGTGTACACGTAGTGTTACAGGTCAGAACGAATTACACTTGTATTTACTGTGTACACGTAGTGTTACAGGTCAGAACGAATTACACTTGTATTTACTGTGTACACGTAGTGTTACAGGTCAGAACGAATTACACTTGTATTTACTGTGTACACGTAGTGTTACAGGTCAGAACGAATTACACTTGTATTTACTGTGTACACGTAAATTACGGGGGGTTTACAAAATAAAGTGGTGATATGATGTTATACGTAAGTATGAATTACGCGGGGTTTAAGAAATAGAAGTAGTGATATGATGTTACACGTGAGTATAAATTACGCGGGGTTTAAGAAATAGAATTAGTGATATGGTGTTACACGTGCGTATGAATCACGCGAGATTCTGAAATAGAAGTAGTAGTATGATGTTACACGTGTGTATGAATTACGCGGGGTTTACAAATTAGGTTTTTGATGTTATAGTGCACGTACGCACACATTGGTATCATTACTGTTTAAACTTATTATTATAACAAGTCTGCCACTTCCTTCCCAACATGTGCTGACCACGGTCAATTGTGTACATGTTATTTCTTGACAGGGCAAAAGACCCATACACTAATTAGCTGGTAACGTTAAACATATGAGGAGCTAACACTAATGATAGTCAGGTGTACTTCAACCTTATAGTCGGCTTTGTTTGAGAACACATATAATCGGAACTATGCCTGGCTTTGTTCTCGGACGTCCAAATCTACATGCTTTAGCTGGCAGTGGTAACACAGTTAATGATAAATCAATGCACATTGCTGTGTACACACAATACTAACGTGAAATGCACGTTCAAATTAGCCGTGTAAATCTAAACAGATATGAAGTGCGTTAGATGCCAACGCTAAACAAGCATGTCTGATGAAGCAATTGTTGTCCCGTACTGTCCCCCTTCTAAACATGACTATCTATTTGTACCTTCACTAGCCAATCTTTTCACTCAGACATTCTTAACATACAAATCTTGCAATTGCTCGTTAATCGATACATTTGTCTCTCGGAATAAATCCTGAATATAACAGACTTTTGGCATGCTAAACAACTATATTATTGGTGGTTTCTGTACAATGCCCGACGGAATACATTATAACAAGCATTATGATGCTATATCCTTGTTTCGTACTCCTCTATAAGGCGCGACAATGTACGGGATACAAACTCATTATAAACAACAGTGGTTTTTATGATGTTTATACATAAAATATATTATCAATTACTAACTTAAAATACCAAGTGACGACTTCCACTCTTAGTGACGAAGTTTTACTTTTATAGCACAGATAAGTTAGTTTGAATTAGAAATTACAAAGACAGAAAAT